CAGCTACTCGGGAGGCTGAGGCAGGAGAATAGCTTGAACCCAAGAGGCGGAGGTTCCAGTGAGCTGAGATTGTGCCATTGCACTCCAGCCTGGGCAACAGAGCAAGACTCCGTCTGGAGGAAAAAAAAAAAGTCTCACACCATGGGATTACCAGAATCCTAGAAACAACTTAAATGGTGACCAATAGGCAATTAGTTACTTTATGGTACATCCATAAACAAGAACACAAGGCCAGGAGCGGTGCCTCATGCCTGTAATCCCAGCACTTTCGGAGGCCAAAGTGGGGGGATCCCTTCAGCTCAGGAGTTCAAGACCAGTCAGGGCAACATGGCAAAACCCCCTTTCTACAAAATATACAAAATTTAGCAGGGCGTGGTGGTGCACACCTGTGGTCCTAGCTATTTGTGTGGCTGAGGCAGGAGAATGTCTTGAGCCCAGGAGGTCGAGGCTGCAGTGAGCCAAGATCGCACCACTACACTCCAGCCTGGGTGATAAAGTGAGACCCATCTCAAAAAAAAAAATGAAAATAAAAAAAAAAAACAAGGAGGCAAGGGAGGATGGCCAGGCGCAGTGGCCCACGCCTGTAATCCCAGCACTTTGGGAGGCCGAGGTGGGCGGATCACGAGGTCTGGAGTCTGAGACCATCCTGGCCAACATGGTGAAACCCTGACTCCACTAAAAATACAAAAAATGAGCCAGGCATGGTGGTGGGTGCCTGTAATCCCAGCTACTCGGGAGGCTGAGGCAGGAGAATCACTGGAACCGTGGAGGCAGAGGTTGTCGCAGTGAGCTGAGATTGCACCACTGCACTCCAGCCTGGCGACAGAGCAAGACTCCGTCTCAAAAAAAAAGATTAGGCCGGGCGCGGTGGCTCAAGTCTGTAATCCCAGCACTTTGGGAGGCTGAGACGGGCGGATCACGAGGTCAGGAGATCGAGACCATCCTGGCTAACACGGTGAAACCCCGTCTCTACTAAAAAATACAAAAAACTAGCTGGGCGAGGTGGCGGGCGCCTGTAGTCCCAGCTACTCGGGAGGCTGAGGCAGGAGAATGGCGTGAACTCGGGAGGCGGAGCTTGCAGTGAGCTGAGATCCGGCCACTGCACTCCAGCCCGGGCGACAGAGCAAGACTCCGTCTCAAAAAAAAAAAAAAAAGATTAATACAACACAGCTGTAGCAAGAAATGTATGAATAAAAGACCATCTTCACCATCCTGGCCAACGTGGTGAAATCCCATTCTGTACTAAAAATACAAAAATTAGCCAGGCATGGTGGCAGATGGCTGTAATCCCAGCTACTCGGGAGACTGAGGCAGGAGAATCGCTTGAACTCTGAAGGCGGAGGCTGCAGTGAGCTGAGATTGTGCCACTGCACTCCAGCCTAGGCAACAGAGCAAAATGCTGTCTCACAAAAAGGAAAAAAAAAATAGCCAGTGCAGTGTCTCATGCCCGTAATCCCAGCACTTTGGGAGGCTGAGGCAGGTAGATCACCTGAGGTCAGGAGTTCGAGACCAGCCTGGCCAACATGGCAAAACCCCATCTCTACTAAAAATATAAAAATTAGCAGGGCATGGTGGTGCGCGCCTGTAATCCCAGCTACCCGGGAGGCTGAGGCAGGAGAATTGCTTGACCCCAGGAAGTGGAAGTTGCGTGAGCCAAGATCGCACTACTGCACTCCATCCTGGGTAACAGAGCAAGACTCCGTCTCAAAAAAAAAAAAAAAAACAACTTCATAATGCATTCATAAGTGCACAACAGGATGCAGAGAATTCTGGCATTTAATAAAAATGGTGTGAGAAATATATACATATCAGTGTGTTGTCTTTTTTTCACGAAATACATTTTTCCACACCAATTTTCCAATACCAATGGGGTGTTGAACAATTCAATTCCATTCTGACACTTACTTCTGGAGTTAGCACAGACCCCACAGGTTAAGGCTTCAGTACCCGAAGGTTGCCCCCACTTCAGATACCAGCCACAAAGGGGGTGCCCAGGGAACTGATGCTTCTCTCTGGAGAACTACAAATTCAGAGGTTCCCCCAGCGCCTCCTCAGGTTTGATAATGCAGTAGACAACTCCCAGAACTCAGGAAAGTGCCTCACTTCCTAGGATATTACCTGTTTATTATAAAGGAAACAATTCCAAAACAGCCAGATGGAAGAGATGCATAGGGCAAGGCACTGGGGGTATGGTACACAGAGCTTCCAGGGCCCTCTCTACCCTCCCAGCACATCCACCCGTTTTTTTTGTTGTTGTTATTGTTTGTTTGTTTGTTTGTTTGTTGAGACGGAGTCTCGTTCTGTCGCCCAGGCTGGAGTGCAGTGGCCAGATCTCAGCTCACTGCAAGCTCCGCCTCCCGGGTTTACCCCATTCTCCTGCCTCAGCTTTCCAAGTAGCTGGGACTACAGGCGCCTGCCACCTCGCCCGGCTAGTTTTTTGTATTTTTCAGTAGAGACGGGGTTTCACTGTGTTAGCCAGGATGGTCTCGATCTCCTGACCTCGTGATCCGCCCGTCTCAGCCTCCCAAAGTGCTGGGATTACAGCCACCCGTTTTTATAACCCAGTCTTTAGTCCCCGAGCCCCCGGTTTTGTCACCTCATTAGCATAAACTCAGGTGTGGTCTTATTAGGATTAATAGAGGTGGGAGGGTTGCTATCAAGAAAAGACACTTCTATCACTTAGAAAATTACAAGGGTTAGGGGTGGGCGCGGTGTCTCACGCCTGTAATCCCAGCACTTTGGGAGGCTGAGACGGGCGGATCATGAGGTCAGGAGATCGAGACCATCCTGGCTAACACGATGGAAGCCCATCTCTATTAAAAATACAAATTAGCTGGGCGTGATGCTGGGCACCTGTAGTCCCAGCTACTCGGGAGGCTGAGGCAGGAGAATGGCATGAACCCAGGAGGCGGAGCTTGCAGTGAGCCGAGATCATGCCACTGCACTCCAGCCTGGGCAACAGAGCGAGAAGAAAAGAAAATTACAAGGGTTTCAGGAGCTCTGTTAGGAACCAAATATACATACATATGTATTTTGAGACTGGCTCTCGCTCCATCGCCCATGCTGGAGCGCCCTGGTGCGATCATAGCTCACTGCAGCCTCCAACTCCTGGAGTCAAGTGATTCTCCCACCCCAGCCTCCCAAGTAGCTGAGACTACAGGCACGCACCACCACACCCAGCTAATTTTTAAATTTTTTGGCACAGATGAGGTCTCACTATGTTGTTCAGGCTGGTCTCGAACTCCTGGGCTCCAGTGATCCTCCCACCTTGGTCTCCCAAAGTTCTGGGATTATAGGTGTAAGCCACCACGCCCAGCAATCTATATATTTTTTAAAAATTTTATTATACCACATGGGCTTCTATAAGTTGAGACTCTTTCTCTGGAAAGACAGGAGAAACATTGCTTTCGTTGATTTCAGGGCAGAGAACCAGGGAGCTGAAGTCAGGGGTAGGAGGGTGGCTCTTGGTTTAAAATGTACATGTGAATATATTATCTATTGGAAAAACATATTAAAAATACTTTTTAGTCCTTGTCTTGGCTTCTAATGTCCTCAGTCTCCAGGCTGTCTTAACTCTGTCTATCCTCTGCTACCCTTCTCCATCTTCACCCCCTAAACACCCTCCTCACCAGCCTTTCTCTAGGCAGTTTCCTCCACTGGAACACCCAGGGTTCACACTTGTTCATGCCAGACATTGTTCTAAACCCTTCCATGGGATTAACCCACTCACATCTCAGAATAACCCATTTTACAGATGAGTCAATGAAGGCACAGGGAGATTAAATAACATGCCAAGCTAACCCAGAGACCTGGAATTTGAATTTAAAAAGCTGGCTCCAAAGACCAAGCCATAATCACTACTCTAGACTGTCCTTCCATGAATATCCAGGTGCAGTCCAATTGCCATCTCCTCTGGGAAGCCTTCCTATCTCCTCCATTAAGAAATTAACCCTTTTTGGGCTGGGCATGGTGGCTCACGCCGGTAATCCCAGCACTTTGGGAGGCCGAGGTGGGTGGATCATGAGGTCAGGAGTTCGAGACCAGCCTGGCCAACATGGTGAAACCCCATCTCTACTAAAGATACAAAAAAAATTAGCCAGGTGCAGTGGTGGTCACCTGTAATCCCAGCTACTCAGGAGGCTGAGGCAGGAGAATCACTTGAACCGGGGAGGCGGAGGTTACAGCCAGCTGAGATCCCACCACTGCACTCCAGCCTGGGCGACAGAGCGAGACTCAGTCTCAAAAAAACAAAAAAAGAAAGAAAGAAATTAACCCTTTTGAGTCCTCATGTCTCTTGGGGGAGAGGGGGTTGTTATAATAATAATATTATATTTGATTGCAGCTCAAGGAAGTGATCAAGTCTTATTCCTAAGTAAATCTGGCCCTGAAGGCATTTCTAGACTAAATAAAGAGCTGTTTTCCATTCCAATTTAGTTTCCCAATATGTTCCTGCCCCCCCCCCCCCCCCCTTTTTTTTTTTTTTTTGAGACAGAGCCTCACTCTGTCACCAGACTGGAGCTCAGTGGCATGATCTCAACTTGCTATAACCTCCGCCTCCCCAGTTCAAGCAATTCTTCCACCTTGGTGTTCCGAGTAGCCGGGACTACAGGCACCCACCACCATGCCTGGCTAATTTCTGTATTTTTAGTAGAGAAGGGGTTTCACCATGTTGGCCATGCTGGTTTTGAACTCCTGACCTCAAGTGATCCACCCGGCTCAGCCTCCCAGTGCTGGGATTACAGGTGTGAGCCACCAGGCTTGGCTCCCTGGCCCTCTTCTAAGGGCTGCAGATACCTCATCTCATTTAATCCCATCTAGACTGTGTAGATCTCATCATCCATAGGCGTGGATAGCACAGAGAGGAAACTGAGGCTCAGAATAACTGGCCACCAATGGGAAGGGGCCACGCTGTTACAGAGCCTGTGCTCACATGGTATAACCCTGGTAGACACCTCCTCCCTACCCCAACCCTGGGTCAAGGAACCAGGCCAGGACCTAAGCACAGTTGGTGTCCTGTGGACATGAATTTATTAGAGGGGACCAGGACCAGAGTGGGCACAAGCTGCGGGCTGGGAGGAAGGGGCAGGGGTGGGGGCACAGCCAGTGGTGTGTCGGTCAGTGGGCCAGCAGGCGTGCTGTTCTTCACCCTGCAGGGCTTCAGTGCCCAGGGCGTGCCGGAGGCTTTGGGAAGACTGCGGAGAGGAAAGAGTGAGGCTCAGAGAGGAAGCCTGCCGAGCTCACACAGGAAGGGCGATCCAGGCCCACAGCACTCCCTCTCATACTGTTGGTCCTCACTCCTGCCTCCCAAGCTCCCACACCAGCCCTGTAGCTGCTGACCCATCCTGCACTCACTGTGGAGGGAGTAGGTGCCTGGTTCCAGTTGCATCTGGGGGGGCAAGACGATGAGAAAGTCCCCACCCCAGGCGTTTTTGACCCTTGAGAGATAATTTTGGGAAGGAGGACGATGACACTCCGAGGTCAGAGAAGGGCACTTGGATGACACAGGCTTAAGCTGGTGGTGGCTGCAGTGCTGGGGCAAGCCACAGGGGGAACAGTGGGGCGGCGAGAGGCCAGGACCCCGGGGAAGGTGAACAGGGACCTGTGGACAGACCCTCTGAACCCCACCATGGTGGGGGCGCCGGTCCCGAGTCCAAGCCCAGTGGAATGGCTCCTTTGCCATGACCTGGGAGGAGCAGAGTGGACAGTAAATGGGGCAGGAACCCCAGCCTTCCCCACACCCCAGGCTGCCTCCACAACCTCACCTCCTCACAGCACTGGCGGCTCACAACAGCCCGGAAACCCATCCGTGCCCAAAGCTTATCCCTCTGGTGCAGGAATTTCCCCACTCGTAAACACCAATCTTTTCCCAGGGCCCATGGAAAGATCTCACATTTGGGCCCCTCCAGGTCCTCCTCCATGTCGTTTGCAAGGTACCTAGCCACAGAGGCACAGGGTCAGGGAGCAGAGGCCACACATCTGCCCTGTCCCATACGACACCTCCAGCAAATGCCTCCACTGCCTGCCCCCGCCACTCACAGGGCCAGGAACAGGCTGCTGTGGGTGTACTCGCTGAGCTTCAGGTGGGCGCGCTGGAAATAGACCAGCACCATGGCCAGAAGATACTGCAGAGACAGATCAGGGTCGGGGGGTTAGTTATCCTCTGAGGAGGAGGGGCTTGCACCCAGGAGGTTTTGCTGCAGGGAAAGAAAGTCAGTAAAATGGTGGGAAGGGGTATGCAAAGATGAACTGGTAAGGGTGGAAGGGGAGTGGCTCTCCCGACCAGACCAGGGCACCCAATAAAGCAGCGGCACTCAATTCCCACCAACTCAACCTGAACCTCAAGAGACCCCCAGCCTGTGCTCCCTCACCTTATCTGAAATCTGGAAGCAGGGGTCTTTGGAGAGGAATTCCTGGACAAAACTGTCCTCTGAGGGTACAGAAGAGAAGACAGGATGCAGGTTACTACCACCTCCATGGAGAAGAGTGGCATCAGAAGCTCCAAAGCCCAAGCCACCACTGAACCCTCTCTCTCTCTCTCTCTCTTCTCTCTCTCTCTCTTTCTTAATGTAAATAGAGATGAGGTCTCACTATGTTGACCAGGCTGGTCTTGAACTCCTGGCCTCAAGTAATCCTCCCATCTCAGCCTCCCAAAGTGCTGGGATTATAGGTATGAGTCATGGCGCCTGGCCCTGAACCCAGTTTCTTTTTTTTTTTTTTTTTTTTTTTGAGACGGAGTCTGGCTCTGTCGCCCAGGCTGGAGTGTAGTGGCCGGATCTCAGCTCACTGCAAGCTCCGCCTCCCGGGTTCACGCCATTCTCCTGCCTCAGCCTCCCGAGTAGCTGGGACTACAGGCGCCCGCCACCTCGCCCAGCTAGTTTTTTGTATTTTTTAAGTAGAGATGGGGTTTCACCGTGTTAGCCAGGATGGTCTCGATCTCCTGACCTCGTGATCCGCCCGTCTCGGCCTCCCAAAGTGCTGGGATTACAGGCTTGAGCCACCGCGCCCGGCCATGAACCCAGTTTCCGAGAGGACTCCCCTCCTACCTGCCTAAGCTGGGTTACCTTGAGAGGGTGAGGGTCAGAGGCCTCAGATAGTCTGTACAGGCAGGTGAGACCTCACACTTCACGTCTGCTTTCACACTTGGCCTCACAGTCCCTCCCATGCCAGCCCTCCAAACTCACCCAGAAGGCTGAGGAAGGCCTGGACCTCCTGGTGCTGGCGAAAACGGAGGAACCCATTGCCCCCACCTTGCCAGCTGCAGCCACCCAGCTCTACCTGGGTGGTAACTACAGGGGAAGTGGTGGGGTCTTGGGAGTCACTCATCTCATAAGAGATGGAGATGGGGCAGGTTGACCTGTAGAGAAAGGAGGCTCAGGACTTAGCATGTACCCCCATGACGCCCACAAATCAAGAGGGTGGTGACAGGGGCCAGGATGGCGGAGGGGTGGGTGCAGAGACTTGGGGGCTCAGAATAGAAGGCAGTTGGGATGCAAGAGGAGTGGGGAGGTCAGAAAAGAAGCAAAGAGTTGCTATGGGCTGTGGCACCCCCGCCCTCCTCCTGGCACCCCAGGACAGGCCAGAGTAACAGCAGCAACAAGCACGGCTGAGGGCTTCCTAAGTGCCTGGAGCTGTGCTTACGGGCCTTATCTTATTCCATTCTGGTAAGGAGGTGATTACCTCGGACCCATTTTTAAACGAGGAAACTGAAAACCTCACAGCCAGTTAAAAGTGAAGTCTTTGGTCTCCAAAACCCCAAGAGGTTTTTCGAGTTTCGTTTGTTTGTGTGTTTTGAGACAGAGTCTCTCTCTGTCGCCAAGGCTGGAGTGCAGTGGCGCGATATCGGTTCACTGCAACCTCTGCCTCCTGGGTTCAAGTGATTCTCCAGCCTCAGCCTCCCGAGTAGCTGGGATTACAGGCATGCGCCACCACGCCCGGCTAATTTTTTGTATTTTTTGGTAGAGACGGGGTTTCACCGTGTTGGCCAGGCTGCTCTCACACTCCTGACCTCCCAAAGTGCTGGGATTGCAGGCGTGAGCCACTGCGCCTAGCAAAAAAAGAAAAAAAAAACCCAGAGTTTAACTGCTCCTCCAGGCCCCAACTCACAACCACCCCCGACCCCTCACCAAAGCAGAGTTGAAAGGGCCACTGATCCCTTTACACCGAGGGGAAACTGAGGCCCTCAGGGATGAACGAAATTAGAGAAATACCTGAATTTAGAGCAAGCTGATGGGGCCACTTCAAACATTTCCAGCTCCTGTCCTAAACCCACCCTCATCCCCGAGAGAGTGACGCTAACCACGGGCTGAGGAGAACGTGCGGTCGACCACCCCGGGGCCAATCTCCATCTCGGCGCGCACAAGCAGCCCAGCCTCCTCCTCCAGAGAGCCTTACCCGAGCTCAGAAATTGCCCAGAGCAGAATGCCCGTGCAGACAGCGAGCGGGCTTATATAGCCTGAGGGCGGCCCTGCCCAGAGCAGCCCGCCCACCAATCAGGGCCTTCCTGGGGGGCGGGGCTTGGCCTTCACCTCCTGCCCCTCCGCCTGTGAGCCCAGTCGGCACCCAGCTGTGGCTCCCCAGGGTGAAAACCTCTCCAAAGCTTCATCAACTATAAGAGACGTGAAGGCAGGCCAGCTGGACCCCAGGGCCTGAGACTCCATAGGACAGGCAGGGAGCTAGGATCCCTGTTCCCCTCTTGATAAACGCAGCGCCAAGGTGCTGAGCCGGGAAATGAGGCCTGGACTGCGAGGGCCCGGTGGCGAGTTTTGATTCATTGATTGTACCTTGCTGGGGCAGGGTCTCTGGCTCTCTATGGGTGTCCCTGAATCTATTGGCCTCCCTGAGTCTCTAGGTTTCAGTGAGGCTCCCTGGGTCTCTCTTTTGTTTCTTTTGTTTTTTATTTTATTTTTCCCCTCGTAACACAGAACAAGATGCCTGGGTCTCAATGGCCCTCTGAGCCTCTCAGTTTCTTGTTGCCTCTGGTGTCTGGATGTCTCTGGATCTCTGGGTCCTTTGGTCTCTCTGATCTCTGGGTCACTGGTCTATCTGCGTTTCATGGTCTCCCCCAAGCCGCCTCACAGGCTCCCTGAGGCCGTGAAGGCCTTTCTAGACCAGCTGGTCTGCATCAGGCCACCCTGTTTGTGTGTGTGCACGCATGTGAAGTCGGCCTCCCCTAGAAAGGAAGCAGTGAGCGGGGCAGCCTCCATAGCCAGCTCCCTAAACACCTACTGCTGCCTACTGAGGAGGCTGTGATGGCATCAGCTCATGTGTTCCTCACAGCAAGCGCGTGAAGTTGATGAGAATGATGAGAAGCCTAATTTTATCAATGAACAAACAACTAACACACAGAGTTTGGGTTGCTCACCGAGAGGCTGAGTAACTTCCTGCCAGCCACTCAGCAGGTAAGTGGAGATAGAGTTCCAGCCTGGCTGCTGGGCCCACACGCTGGGTAGCCTGGCTGTGTGGTCTACAGCTGTTCCCGGACACAGCCTGCACAGAGAAGGTGTTCCATGAAATGGAATGAATCTCCTAGACCAGCTGTGTTTTCAACTCTTCTCCTCTCCCCCCCATAATTAAGGTTAGAGATCAGGAAGGGGTACCAAAAAGAAGCCTGGGAGTGGGCTAGTCACTTTAACCTTGGGAGGGTGTCCAGGCTCATTTCCTTCAGTGCCACCCTTGGAGATCTGACACTGCTCTCCTACACTGGGGAGAATGTCTGTTTTTAATTTTTTTTTTTTTTTTTTTTGAGACAGAGTCTCGCTCCGTTGCCCAGGCCGGAGTGCAGCGGCACAATCCTGGCTCTTTGCAACTTCCGCCTCCAGGGTTCAAGCAATTCTCCTGCCTCAGCCTCCTGAGTAGCTGGGACTACAGGCATGTGCCACTACGCCTGGCTATTTTTTTGTTTTGTTTTGTTTTTGAGACAGAGTCTTGCTCTGACACCCAGGCTGGAGCGCAGTGGCATGATCTCAGCTCATTGCAACCTCCGCCTCCCGGGTTCAAGTGATCGTCCCACTTCAGCCTCCTGAGTAGCTGGAATTACAGGTGAGCACCACCACACCTGGCTGATTTTTATATTTTTAGTAGAGACAGCGTTTCACCATGTTGGCCAGCTGGATCTCAAACTCCTGACCTCAAGTAATCTGCCCGCCTCGGCCTCAGCAAGTGGTGGGATTACAGACATGAGCCATGGCGCTCAGCCCACAGTTTGGCTTTCACTCTGCTCCATGTCTTCTGTATCCCAGAACCCTGACAAGAGAGGGCTCTGGGATATAGAAGACATGAAGCAGAGCATCAAAGCACCTCTCTGATGCTTTCAAAGCCCCAATGTGGTTCTGCCATTGTGCTTTTCCATCTGCCCTGAGCCTGGTGTCCCCCTGGTAGGGGCAGCCTCTCCTGCCAGGGGCAGCCTCTCTTGCCAGGGTTCTGGGACACAGAAGACATGGGACAGAGCCAAAGCCAAACTGTGAAGGGCACGTAATATGGGCAAGAAACAAACTTTTGTATTTGAAAACCACTGAGACTGAGGGGTTATTATTGTACTGGATCTCTATTTGTTGCTCTATCAAATGATCATAAAGTTAGTGGATTAAAACAACACTTATTTATTACTTTACTGTTCTAGAGGTCAGAAGTCCAAAATGGGTATCACTAGGCCCAAATCCAGGTGGCAGCAGGATTCCTCGCTCTGGGAGTTCTAGGACCCATTTCGTTGCCTTTTCCAACTTCCAGAGGCTGCTTGCATTCCCAGTGTGACTTCCTTTCTCCCTCTTCAAAGACAATAACTTGGTGTCTTCAAATCTTTCTGACTCTGACCCCTCTTCTACCTCTCTTTCACTTTTTTTTTTTTTTTTTTTTGAGACAAAATCTTGCTCTGTCAGCCAGGCTGGAGTGCAGTGGTGCCATCTTAGCTCACTGCAACCTCCGCCTCCCGGGTTCAAGCGATTCTCTCAACTCAGCCTCCCAAGCAGCTGGGACTACAGGCAAGTGCCACCACACCTAGCTAATTTTTGTATTTTTAGTAGAGACGGGGTTTCACCATATTGGCCAGGCTAGTCTCGAACTCCTGACCTCGTGATCCACCCGCCTTGGCCTCCCAGAGTGCTGGGATTACAAATATGAGCCACTGCACCCAGCCTCTCTCTTTCACCTTTAAGAATCACATGATTCATTGGGCTCTTCAATCTGCCCAGATGATCTCCCCATCTCAAGATCCTTAACTTGGCTGGGAGAGGTGGCTCACCCATGTAATCCTAGCACAGTGGGAGGCTGAGGCGGGCAGATCACCTGAGGTCAGGAGTTCAAGACCAACCTGGTCAACATGGCAATACAAAAATTAGCAGGGCAAGGTGGCGCATGCCTGTAATCCTAGCTACTCGGGAGGCTGAGACAGGAGAATTGCTTGAGCCTAGGGTGTGGAGGTTGCAGTGAGCTGAGATCATGCCATTGCACTCCAGCCTGGGTGACAGAGCAAGCCTTGGTCTCAAAAAAGATCCTTAACTTAATCACATCTGCAAAGTCTTTTTTGCCATATGAGATAACATATTCTCAGGTCTGGGAAGTGGAATGTAGCCATCTTTGGGAGTCTATTATTCTGCCTGTTACAATTATCACAGCAAAATTTATTCTATGCTAACTAATATACTATTTATAAAATTTATATTCATGTGAATGTATATATAATTTATAAAATCACACATTAACATTGCATGCTATAAAGGATACACATAAAAGGATATAAAAGGATACACATAAAACATAATAACATACTGCCAGCTCAAAAATATATATATATGGCCAGGTCCATTGGCTCACGCCTATAATCTCAGCACTTTTTGGAGGCCAAGACAGGAGGATCATTTGAGTTCAGGAGTTGGAGACTAAACTGGGCAATACATCAAGGCCCCATCTCTACAAAAAATAAACTAGCCTGGCGTGGTGGCACATGCCTGCAGTCCTAACTACTCAAGAGGCTGAGGTGGGAGGATCACTTGAGCCCAGGAGTTCAAGGTTGCAGTGAGCTATTATCTTGCCACTCTACCCAGCCTGAGTGACACAGCAAGACCCTGTCTCTAAAACATTAATTAATTAATTAATTAATTAAAAATTTGAAAATATAAAGATAGAAAAATAATTTGCAATTACTAAAAGAAAGCTGGGATAACTACACTAGTATATTAAAACAACTTTAGGGCCAGGCGCGGTGGCTCACGCCTGTAATCCCAGCACTTTCGGAGGCCGAGACGGGCGGATCATGAGGTCAGGAGATCGAGACCATCCTGGCTAACACGGTGAAACCCCGTCTCTACTAAAATACAAAAAAAATTAGCTGGGTGTGGCGGCGGGTGCCTGTAGTCCCAGCTACTCCGGAGGTTGAGGCAGGAGAATGGTGTGAACCTGGGACGCGGAGCTTGCAGTGAGTCGAGATCACACCACTGCACTCCAGCCTGGGCGACAGAGTGAGACTCTGTCTCAAAAAAACAAAAAAAAAAAACAAAAAAAAACAACTTTAGGCCAGGCGCAGTGGCTTACGCCTGTAATCCCAGCACTTTGGGAGGCCGAGGCAGGTAGATCACTTGAGATCAGGAGTTCAAGACCAGCCTGGCCAACATGGTGAAATCCCATTTCTACTAAAAATACAAAAATTAGGTGGGTGGTAGTGGCGAATGCCTGTAATCCCAGCTACTCGGGAGGCTGTGGCAGGAGAATCGCTTGAGTCTGGAAGGCAGCGGTGGCGGTGAGCCGAGATTGCACCACTGCACTCCAGTCTGCTGGGTGACAGAGTAAAACCCTGTCTCAAAAAAAAAAAAAAAAAAAAAAAAAAAAAAAAAAAAAAGGAACTCTGGGCAAAAAGCGTAACTAGAAAGAAAGAGAGTTTAAAAATATATAGCTGGATGTGGTGGTGTGCACCCGTAGTGCTGGCCTGGGCAACGTAGGGAGACCCTGTCGGAAAGAAGAGAAGGGGAAGAAGGGGAGGGAAAATAAAGGAAAAGAAATAGGAAGGAAAAGAAAAATAAAAGGAAAAAGGAAGGAGAAGAAAGAAAGAAGGGTGGGAGGAAAGGAAGAAAAAAAAATGTATATAATTACCTAACCAGAATCCAGGTAAAGAAAAAAATATATATATAGTAATTTGTTTACTCCTAAAAATAAAGTCAATAAGCAACAAACCGTGTGTGTGTGTGTGTGTGTGGGTGTGTGTGTAAAATCAACAGAACCACACAGAAAAACAAATCACAAACGTAACTGTAGATCTGATGGCACATGCAAGGCAAAAAAGTTAGCAAAGCAGTAAAAGATAGGAAGAATATGATGAACAAATTTGACCTAGTGGACAAATAAGGTAGCACTGCACCCAACAAAGGCAGAAAAGCACGCACAGAACATCTTCCTAAAAATTAATCAAATGCAGCCGGGCGAGGTGGCTCACGCTCGTAATCCCAGTGCTTTGGGAGGCCGAGGCAGGTGGATCACAAGGTCAGGAGTTCGCGACCAGTCTGGCCGACATAGTGAAACCCCGTTTCTAACTAAAAATACAAAAAGCCGGGTGTGGTGGTGTGCGCCTGTAGTCCCAACTACTCAGGCGGCTGAGGTAGGAGAATGGCGTGAACCCGGAAGGGGGAGCTTGCAGTGAGCCGAGGTCGCGCCACTGCTCCAGCCTGGGCAACAGAGCGAGACTCCGTCTCAAAAAAAAAAAAAAAAAAAAAAAAAAAAAAAAAAAGAAGAAGAAAAAGAAAGCAAATATTGTCTGTCAAAGTTGGAGGACACAACTAGTAATTCTTAGAGAGGAATTTATGACCTCAAATGCGCGTGTTAGAAAATAAGACAAGCTGACGAACTGAACTCCATCTTAAAAAGTCACAAGTGAGCCCGGGGTACTTCGCGGTTCTGAGGCCCAAGGGGCTGCCTGGGTCCCCATCCGCCAACTTTTGCTCCCCACACAGCTCCAGGCAACAAGAAAGAAAAAATAAAACGCTGCCAAAACCACAGTGTCAGCATAACTCGAAAGCAGAGAAGGTCCAAACTTCAAGATAACTGTAAATAAAAAGAAAGCGACAAAATCCCCGCACGCCATCGTGCGCTGCCGCCTCTCCTAGGCACGAGGCTTTGTGCCAAGAAAAGTTGGGGAAGGAGGGGAGACAGGAGTGGCCGGGCTGGGGTTGGTCGAGAGCCACCATCAGAAAGACGGCGACATTCTAAAATCTGAAAATACCAAGAAGACGTCCTGGGAAGTCAGAGCTCAGACCTCAGGGAAGGGGCTCACAAGTGTGTGCGATAGGAAGGGAGGTTGTTAAAGTCCATTGATTCCGCGGGAGCGGTTTTAAAAAAGGTCGGGGGCGGGTGCTAAAACGGGCCAGAAGCATCCGTGGGCATTAAGTGAAGTGAGAAAATGCAGAAGGGAGAAATTGAGGGGCCTACAAGACAAAAGAGAACCAAGCAATGGGAGAACACAAAACCCTACCCACCCCCACACCAAAACAAACAAACAAAAAGCT